AAATTTTAGTTTTACTTTTTGTTCTTGAATTAGAATAAAGATGCCTTTTAAATACCACAAAGTTTGTAATGTATTACATGTTGCATCATCATACTGATAGGTAGGTATAAAATATATAAACCCCATTGGGATGATAAGGCTAAAAATTACCCATCAATTATTCAGTAATTGAACAATCATTAAACACATCCTAGATAAGCAGCGGAAATTAGATGAGTTAACTAATTAAAACGTATTTGCTTCATGGAAGTTCTACATTTTTATTTTAGGCCAAAGGTAAGGGAAACATTGAAGTCAGTATTTGTGAAAAAAAGCACAACTTTTTTACTCGATTACACTTTAAAACTAGTCTTCCCAAGTGAAATCATTTATTTTCTTACAATTTTGAAATTATTTGAAAGTATTTTCAATAACTGCAAATACACAGAAAAATTCAATATATCCCTGTTTCAATATGTGAAAGTATTACTGATGTAGAATTGATGCATTGTTGAACCACAGAACGCTCTCCTCCCCCTCCTCCTCCTCTCCTCCTCTCCTCCTCTAACAACAGTGGCACATTTACTGGATTCATTCAAGTGTTAAATAACACGCTACACAGCTGTTTATAAGTAACACTGGGTTCCTCCTCATCAGTATTCATGTTCTTACTTTGTGTTTCCAGGCTTTCACACAGCTCGGTTTTTGCTTCTCCGTTGGGTCTGAGTCCAGCCTTGGGGTTAAATTTGTTGGACATGGTGGCGGCAGTAACCACGGCCTTGAGGCTGCGTGTGCGCTTGGGCACATTCTGCTCTGGGTGGAAGAGAACCACGTAGACTTTCGGCATGTAGAGCAACCCGAGGGACACCGAGGCGCTCAGGCTCACCGAGATGGTCAGTGTGGTTGTTTGGATGTACATCTGCAAAAGGGAAAACACCAAACAGTGCACAACACAATCAGTTTAGCCTTCTTAACACTGGATGTTACACATTTCTCTATATGAGTATAGCAGCCACAATGACATCTGCTATGTGTCATTCTAATTAGAGCGTCCAATGACCCGTTTGTTGGCCAAGCTGTTGTTGAAGTAGTTTCTACTGCGTCTAATAAAGGCTGCAAAACTATTCCATGCGAGTGACGTGATTAAATTTGTTTTAAATCAGCATCTCATCTGCTTTTACGGCTCATGTGCCGGACCAGCCCAGGCCACCTTGTTTGTTTAATTTTCTGCCATACTAGTTTTAATATGACCATCCCGTCGATGTGGACGCAGATTTGATAACGCCGGCGGATTGGATCCTATTCTGACTCATAACAAGCGAGCCCATAAAAAAGAAACAAGCTCATGAAAATTTTACACACGGTCAAATCCTCTGATTTGCAGAGGAGGGGGGGGGGGCGACGCAGGGTATCGCTCTCATCCGTTCCATTTTAATTGTTTGCAAAGCTGCTGCAAATTAATGAGTCATCTTTGGGGGAGCATTAAAGTAGAAGGAAAGCCTGTGTAATTTCTATACATCACACTATATTGTGGCTGCTTGACTGGTCAGCTGAGAGAAATTAACTTGTGTTTGAGAAGTTCCTATGTAATGATACTGCAGACTGGAGTTCATCCAACCACCCTGCATCAAAGCTGCTGGCGAGTGGCAGAGCGCGTTGGTGCAAACACAACTAAAATAAAGTGTAAACATAAGGAACAGATTTCTTGTCTCCACATCAGCTCAGACGATCAAGCTCCGTCAGAGTATCCGAGTTTTCACTTTCTACTGTTTTATTCCGTCACAGTCACGTCATTTCTTTCACATCAAATCTCAGATCAGGAATCTATAACAAAAAAAAACCCAAACATGGACACAAATGACAATTTGTTTACACTGGCTAGGTTTGTTAACAAACCGTGCGTAAAGGCTGAGCACCACAACAATAAAAGGCTCAATTAGGTGGATTTTCTGGTGTGAATACAAGAGGCTAACCATCTGTGTTAAAGTGGGAATCACAGGAATTTTTTCCTGTTCATACATTTCTGCCGACATCGCATGAAAATCGACAAACAGATGGCTCAGCATTGTGCATGAAAGTAACAGATGAGAGCGAAGCCTTCACTTCCTGTTAAATGTTTCCATTTATGAATTCATTGTCAGTGTAGGGATGAAACATTTGTACTTCAATGTGTGCAGGAGCTGACACTTCGAATGGAGAAACTCCATATTAGGAGAGGTTGCTGTCACTTGGCTTTACAATGCAGGAGAAGGTATTTTATTCTCAGCCCATGGAGTATTGAGCTATATGTAAAAAAAAAAAAAAAAAAAGAATAGTTTCTTACACTTTCCTTTCGAAACATTTAACAACTTTCTTCATCTCTATAAAAATATGGTCTGAAAACTGTTTTAATTATAATCTACCTGGTTAATTATCACATCAACTAAGGAGATAATTTTTCCATTTGTTGGTTGGTTTGTTTGTTTGTTTGTCATCACGATGAATTAAAAGGAAACTTAGTGGAAGAATGAAACATGAAAAACATTATCATATAACAGCAAATAATCATGGACGTTAATGAAAATTGAGGGGACTGATACTGAAATCTACGAGGGTACAATTTGATGTGGAACCAAAAAAACTGGGTGAGTCTGTATATCAGCTGCTGATTGACCCTCAGTAGAACCCTGCTGGTTATTTTATCAAAGCTGAGTAACATTTTGCTGATGTGCAGATGTGACCTCTGCTTGAATATCCTGTTTGTTTGTATAACGTGTTGCTCTGCCTCCAGACTGGATGCATCTCATCTCAGTCCGGCCTGGTGCCATGTGGGGCTGCTGGCCTGAGAGAAGAGTGAAGAATTGAGGCAGTATGATGGAGGGACAGCTGCGGTGGTCCTCTCCCAGCTGTAGGGAGCGTTAACCAGTGAACTGCTCTGGGCTCATTCCACTGCCGCCTCAGGGACTGACAGTGAACCCAAGCTGTTACCACATAAATGAAAAAACAATCTGTGTTGCCTTTCACCCAAAAATAGCTTCCTTCTTGGACAAGCTGTTACCTGTTACTTACAGATACTGTGAGTAGAAGTCATGATAATATAACGGAGATGACAAAGCTGAAATAAGTGTTAATATCATATACATATTTTATTATAAAATCAATATTGTAATGTCGAAGTTCAACTATATTTTCCAATACAATTATGAAACTCTACACATACTTATATTGTTATCATCATCAATACTCTGCTGAATGTTTTGTCAATTTATTTGTCTATAAAATATTATGATACTATTTTTCTAAAACCAAAAATGAAAAGAAAATTGCAAACGATCAAATCAGAAAAGCAAAATCTCAGTCAGAAAATGATAATAATAATATTTTCCAATTGATTACTGCTTTTATACATTGTCATGATCATAACAAAAAATAAGAAATGTGTGAATTATGATAAACTATAAATGCAATTAGATAAATCATCAAGGTAGTGACTTTGCACGAATAACTTTTTTTATCAGAGAAAATGTTCAACAGTAACACAACTAGTGCTTCTCTAATATTGGCTCTTTAAGGTCATTGTGAGTATTGACAATTGTAATTTACAAAAATCCTATAATGATTTATGCATTGATATTAATTATGTACATGTTGCACACAGAAGTTCTGACCTCACCTGTTAAAATATCTCCCACTCTCCTGCCTCTGAGAGTCGCACTGTGTTTACTTACAAATCGATTCCTGTTTACTGTGACACATCTACTCCAATATTCAATCCATTCATTGTTCCCTCCTGATTGCACTGCACCGGATCGTGCTCTGATCACATGAAAGAGAGTTTCTGTGTTTCACCACACACCACACAGGCCTTCAGCCGAACGTGCCTGGGGCAAAAGGTAACAAAGAGGAAGTACAGCAGCATAACACGCGAGGAAAACCATGGGGATCTATGAGTCCGTACGGTATCCGACACAAGGAGTTAAAAACATCACTGCCTATAAAGACTCTGAGCTCATCTAAGTGAGAGCGTCTGTAATAACTGATAACATAAGATTAATGTGAGGGTTAATAAATGTAAACAGATAAACTGATTCTATTTTCTACTGGGGACTCTGGAGAGCTTCTGCTTCAGGATGCAAACTATCGAATTCATTTAAACTGCGTAATTCCCTATTCTAAATGAAGCCACTGGGTTATTTCTCAGCATGCAGCACAAATGTTGAGCAGACAGACTTGCTGCATCAGAATTCACTATAATTGCACACTAATTAAGTTTATAAACAAATAGGAGCCTTAGGGGACGCAATTATATACCTTCATGGGAGAATGTCATTTATTAAGATCACAATCCTTTGGCCTTGATTAGGTTCACTGCCTGTTCAGCCATTACTGGAGCACACGGAGGTCAATAGCCAGGACCCAGAGGGCCGCTGTGCTGTAGGCCTAATAAACGCAGCGACTGCTCTCTGAAGATGTTGCTCACTTCTCTCTGTGGCATCAGTCTTCATTATGTATTATTGAGCCTGTGGGACATTAGTGTGAATAATGCTGTTAATCTTCAGACTGAGAAGAGACAAAGAAGGAAATGGAAAGGACCGGGACAAACACTGAGGACACTCCTGTCTAACATCTGGTCTCGTTGAACTCCCTTCAACTCCCACTCTTTGTCCGACCGGTGCACTAACAGCAGTTTTTTGTCGTTCGGCCGACAGTGCCAATAGTGTGATGGAAACTTCATAGCGAAATAAACACCACCGCTCAATTCATCAGTCCATTCATGCACTGCGCTGGCAGGACCTCTTTGTGTGGGCTGATTGAATTTGAATTGAGCCTATTGTTCCAAAGCCTATTTCTATGCAGGCTATTGTGCGACACTCCTCCTCTGGCCTCTGTCTTTGAGACAGCCCCTGATTTAGACTGTTTCTCCAGGTAAGCAGGTGTCACATCTATTCCTGAAGGCAGTGCACAGTTCAGTGATCGTGCTGCATAGATAGAGCAGATGTCCCTGTTTGAATGATGGAGAGAGCCTCCTGTGTCGTTCGTTACGTTTATCCCTGCACCAGAGGACAAATAAATGACTGTGCTTGTAATGCTGAGGCAGAGGCCTGTTGTAAACTGGTGATGAGAGCACAGGCGACGAGATAAGGTAAATCAAGACCCAGAGGAAGTGGAGCATTTAATTGCTCTGAAAGACATGTCAACGTGGGTTGTGAGGCTTTGCGTGGGCCTGTCATTTACAGTAGGATGATTACAAGGTGTGTTTGCTTTGACATGTTAATTCCTTAAATAGGAACATTGTTTACGTAACCGCTCAGAAAGTCAGTCACAGGTTTCATTTTCTTTCGTATGAACAGTTAACTAAAGCCAATAAATGCTCTTCACAACATACATATGTTCACAAACAGTGCAGGTGTTCTTCTGTCGGGGGATGGTAAAATGAGAGGTTATGTTTTCACCCCTGCACGTTTGTTTGTCAAATTGTTGGTTAGTTGCTTTGTTTGATTGTCATCAGATTATGAACTAAACATATTTCACCAAATGTGGTAAAATGGTGGGACATGGGCCGAGAAAGAGGTCATTCTATTTTGGAAAATTCCAGGTTTGCATCGGCGAACATGCAAATCTATACCGATCCGATACCACATCTTAAAAGTATAGTCCAGAAAAAACTGCAATTTTTCTTTTCACAGAAATCAGGTTTTCTTCACTGCTCCAAAACAGCTATTGCCTTGTTCTGTCACTAGTAAGTACTGTGTTTAGATGAGTGACAAATAAGGGACTTCCGGTCGTGTAGCTTCAGCAGAGCTAGCTAAACTGTCAGCAATTTGACAATAATAAGTCAGTTTCAAGGGATGGCACTAGTATTGACCATAACAACACTTGCAATGTCATGAAGCGGAAAATGCTGAATGCTGAATGTTTCCACCAACTTTGCTTTGGTTTTCTTTTTGTCTGACAGTGTGGAAAGACAATAAACTAAACACACACTGTACGACTGGTCAGTAACAAATGGAGTTGGCAACAGACAACCCCACAAATGTCCAACTGTCATGTTTTCTTGTACCACAACAAACATGGACAGCGTCCAGCAGCTTGCACTGTTTATGTGCCGTGCAATGTGTGCTGAAAGGCCAGAAAAGGAGAAAACAGGGAGGATCTGTCTATTTAACGAAATGCTACATATATTTATACAGCACTTTTCTACTCTTCAAAGCACTTCACACTAAAGGGCACATTCACCCATTCACACGGTGCTTATACATTTCAACATTTGTTCTATTACATGTCATTCACCTTAGTGGTTAGTGGATAACCTGCACCTTCTGTGCCACAGACTCCATCCGTCCATCCATCCATCCATCCATCCATCCATCCATACATACATAAACAGATTAGTTTGTTTGCTGGACAAAATTAGAAATCTGAAGATGTGACCTTGGACAATTGGAAACTGTGATTGATGTGTTTGAAATAAACACAATATGTTAATTGCACCATTGCACTACTTCCCCCTTTGCTCCTGATGGACCACAGTCATAAACTCCATCACCACAGAGCTTTGTCACTTGTGAAACGACTGATGCTGTATTTCTTTTCTTGGAAGGTCAGTCTGTTAAAAGCAGTTTAACAAGGAAACTTGCACGGGCTTACAATGCTCAACCTGGAGTGTAAAGCTTTTTCTGACACTCAAAGACCCTTTTCATTTTATATTACACGTGATTTTTCTTTCTTAAATGAATAAAAGTGGAACATTTCCCTGAAGCTAAATGTCCATGTTTGAGTTTCATTTTATGTCTTACCTCAACGCCTATGGCTCAGGGCAGTGGTAAACGATAAAAATTGTCTCCCAGCCATTGTGTGTACAGTTTTCGTCAGAATCTAAAAATTAATGAGTGACTCGTAAAATTTGGAGCACGACAATGAGCATCTAAGTCTGAATGAGAGACAAGCTTTTTTTTTTAGTTTGTATATTCATCATCATTTAAATTCAGCTGAGGTACACAAGAAGACGAAACAAAAAGTAGGACTCCACTTAGAGTTTAAAGATTTTTTTCCCCCACTTCTATTCTTCTATTCAGAGCCATGCTGGCTAATGGATTACCTCATCCTCCAAAAAAGCTGCTCAATATCTCTGTGATTGTTTAATTCTCTTTCATCTTCAGAGAGGAGATGGGATGATTAAACAAAGAGCTCGCTAGTATCCATGGCTGCTGTTGACATGTGACTTCGGATGTGCAACGCTCACATTAAAAAATTATGTGGGCTTTGTACTTGGGCAGCTTTTTCTTTACTGTGTATGATAATCAAGAATGTATAGCCACAATAGTTTTACTGGTGCACAGCCTAGTTTTTGTGTCTACATCAGAGGATTTATTGGGTACGAGAGAAGTTGAGGCTCTGTGGTGTTAACACAACATGCAACATATGAGAAGACGTCATTAAAGTGCGAGTCCCACACTGCATTATTAATGTAATTGCAGTTGACTGCAGGAATGTGTGTGTTTTCTGTAACGCTGTCGACTGTAGAAATGATTTTAGGATGCTGAGCATGATGCAATGCACACTCTCCATCTGTGTTTCCACACAGGTAACTATCGCAGCCAGTTTTCTGGGCCAGGATTTTGATGCATTGTTTTGTGTAAAGGAGGTTAGGATTAATTTGTTGCATCTGTCAGACCCATGCTGGCACCGCTGATAGTGTCCATGCCAGCATGAGGCTTTTCCCTCTTGGCTTCTCTTGTAGCCACTGAGCCCCTTTCGTTTCACAGCCAAAGACCTCTTTCAACTGGATATACACATTTCTACTGTGTCATTGTTTTACCCTTTTGGCTTCGCTTCATCTGGATGTGTGTTCCAAGCCCCTTCGGATCCCTCTTGACCTGTACCCTCCCACAGCTCCCACTGGATGTGATCCAGGTCCACGGTTCATGAGGTCAGGAACATTGATTTGACATGGGAATATGAGTGTGTGTTTGTGTTTATGTAAACAGCTCATGGGTTTCTAATGCACTGTGGCACACAGCCATCATTATTAAGTGAGTCACAGGTTTGTGTGCTGCCCACAGAGTTATTAGAGAATGAACTCATAAAACTGTATCCACACTTGGAGAGTGTCAGTGTTTTCAAAGTCTGAGACCTCCGCATGACATCCTTCTTTTTAGCTGCTGTTTTGGCAGCTGAGTTCTATTCACTTAATTTCTAAAATTGCTGTTGTTCTAAAAAAGCATAGTTGAATATTTTAATATGAAAATGAACATTGTTGTCTATCATGTGGGATGGAGTATTAAGATTGCTGAACTGTACTGTCAGTAGTGGGAAACGTTTTGAGTACTAACTGCACAATTTAAACTTGAAAAGTCAAAGTACTTATGATACAGAATAGTCCGTTATATTATTATTATATTATATACAAGGTTTCTTAGTTTCTATATTATGTTTCTCCAAGATAAAAAAGTTTAGGAATCACATGTGTTGATCAAATATTTAATCTGTTAAATTATATGCAAAAATAAATTAAATACAAGGACAAATATGTTATAAGATCATTATTTCACCCTGATCAGCAGAAAGTATCAAAGCTCCAAGTTAAGTACCTTTAAATGACTATGATTTCAAAGTAATATTTTCAATCACTTGTGTCTAGTAGGAGGAGTGAAGTTAAATAGAAGTAGTTATAAGCTTACCTTTTCCGTGGACTGCGAAGTGCCAAAGAAGATTGGGATGAACGCTAGCCAAATAATGCAGGTGGTGTACATGGTAAAACCGATGGGTTTTGCCTCATTGAAGGTCTCGGGCACCCCTCTGGTTTTAATGGCATAGACTGTACAGGTGACCATGAGCAGCATGCTGTAGCCCAGCAGGCAGATGAGAGACAGGTCAGAGATGTCACACTTGAGCACACCACGAGCCAGCACAGGGTTAGACGTCCGCTGGTCCTCATAGTCAATTATGGCCTTGGAAGGATCAACGCCAAACCAGATACACACCCCGAGCAGCTGCACTGATGCCAGGGTGAATGTGATAACTAGCTGGGAGGCTGGAGAAATCAACTTGGGTGCACTTACGGACATGGTACCCTGCTCAAAGATGCGGTAAATTCGATTTGTTTTGGTGAGTAGGGCAGCGTAGCTGATGCTCATCCCCAGACCCAAGAAGATCCTCCGCAGGGAGCAGATTCCTACATCAGGGGTTGAAATCATCAGGAAAGTTGTGGCATAACAGAGAAAGATGCCAGTTAGCAGCACATAGCTCAGCTCTCGGCCTGATGCTTTCACGATGGGGGTGTCGTTGTGGCGGATGAACGTGACCACCACAAACAAAGTGGCCATGATGCCAAGTACAGCAATAAGCACGGGGATGACCGCCCAGGGAGAGCTCCACTCCAGCTTAACAATGGGGATCGGAGCACAGCCCGTGTGATTTTCGTTTGGCCGCAAATCAAAGCGACACATCTTACACGTGTAGGTGTCGGCCTGATACTGATAACCATCACAGCGCTCGCAGTGCCAACAGCAAGGGATACCCTTCACGATTTTCTTGCGCTCACCAGGCTGACAGGGCTGGCTGCAGATTGAGGAAGGGATCTGACGGACACCACCCGGCCACTGCATCGAACTAACCTGCGAAGAGATAAAGATATGAAGGGACGTTAAGACAGATGAGAAGAGATTTGTACTAAGCTGCCTGTATCCTTTAAAATGGCAGCATCTAAAGGTAGTGATGCTTTACTGATCCCAGAAGATCCACAGCATCCCTGGAGGTCAAGGAAAGTTTAGACAGTTGTTACTTAATGTTTGGGTATTTGAGCAAGTGCTAAAGTATAATTTCATATGTTCACATCATAACATGCAATATACAATCACAAAACTCTAAAGTTTTTTTAAAACAAAGGGTTCAGGTCAACGAAGGGAGTTTTCTGACCCTTAATTACTGAAAGCTACAAAGTCAGAGTGTCAACGTGACAACATGCGTTGTGGCTGTTGTGGCTCTAGTTATATAGATTCAGCAAAATTCACCAGTGAGAGGTAAAATTTTCTGAAGTCCAATACACAGGAGGAAAAGGGGAAACATTGTTTGCTCTACAGGAATCTGACAGTGTTTCATTCTTCTTATTTGAGTTGTTTGTTTTCAAAAATCAATACTCAGAGAAATGAAAGATGAATTCCATTTCGGCAGACTACTCTCTTTGGTGGACCCCCCGTCCTTTTACAGGCATACTTGTAAGATAAATTAAATTCCTCATTTAAAACGGTGCCGCTCTCTTTAATGTTATCAATTTCTATTCAATTGTGGCTGTTCATCTAAAGCCAGTAAATTTGTCTCTAAATATGTATTTAATTAAGAACTCAAAGAACGCTAATTAAATATAGCCGGCTTTAGAATCAGAGCTGGCACGTTACACAGTAGGTGCCCACCACAAACCTCGCCTTCTTTTCTGCATAGCACATGTTGACGGAAGGGGTACGGCAAACAAAGCTCCTCTCAAGCTGCTTCGTGTGTTCAATTGTGCTCTCCTTCGCCCGCCCAGGGCCTCCTCTTCATTTTGCCAAAACATAATTTGTTTGGTTCCTTTATGTAATTTGCAGTTATAATACTGTTACTCCATCACAGCTCCTGCCCACAGTATTGTTTTTGGGAGTCAGTGATGGCGTCTTGAGAGATGATATTTAATATGTCTGTCCTTAAGCTTTCATAGCTTTCTTTTCATCACAGTCGTGTTAATCATTTAAGCGCCCTCTGGATATTTACACCTTTGAAGATGACACTAGGCACTATCAAATGGTTTGGGATGAGTAAGTGAGCAAACACGCAGCTGCAGAGCTGCTGAAATCAGGTTTCTACAGAGGGATTTTCACTGCGGACACTAAAACACAACACGAATATGCAGAAGAGAGAATATCTGCAGAATGTGTGTGGGCGGTGAATTGAAAAGAGAAATGCTTACGTTAATGTGGAGCTGATCTGTCCAGTGGCCGATGATTTTGTATTCAGCCATTTGGTTTTGGATCTGGTACTGGTAGATCTCATAGCGTCCAGGGGCGTCTCCGTTTTCGTTGAAGAGCACAGGGTTGCCAGCTATGCCTAAACGAGAGACCAATCATCATCATCATTATTTACTGCACAAGTGACTTTCTGTGTTGTGAGCATGAATCCGTGAAGGCAAACCAAAGCGATGCCATTATTAGTGCAGTTATTACAGCGATCATGCAGCACATTAGAAACCAATCTGATGTCTCTGGATCTAAATGATTTTTTCTTTTTCTTTCTAATTCAATGAAAACATCTTTTCAATAACTGGATGTTTCCTTATGAAAACATATAGTTTTATAAGACTCACGGTCATATCTGATTATTCTTGAACGTAAGGTATAACATTCAATGTCAACATTGAGACAGACTTTCTGTGCCACTTTTGTAAATGTGGGGTGTGTCTGGCTTTCATGCTGTAGCACTGGAAACTATTCCTCTCCAACCATGACCTTGATCTTTCTAAAAAACTTAACGATAAACCGCAACACTAATCAAGTTATTAGGACCGGAACAGGGGGGCACGAAATAATCGTTCATTAAATGGAATCGAGGTAAAAGTTTGAAATGATGATATTGATTTAAAGTTGTATCGAACAGGCGTAATATTTGATATGCACTTATGGTACATATGAGACCGTATAGCTGCCTGAGAGCAGTCTTACTACAGTCTGCTAATAATACTTCTCTTCTTGGTCTCTTCTCTCTCTTCAAATCAGTTGAGGGCTAATGGCCGCCCACCCTTTGTCCTGCTCTGCTAGAAGTTCCAGGGATTTTTCTTCCCCACTGTCGCCAAGTGTGGCTCGTTGTAGGAACTGTTGGGTGTCTCTCTGTATTCTATTGTAAGGTCATGATGCGTCACTATGCCAGGTACTTGAGATTATTATTATTATGTTAATAATCTAGGGCTATGTAAACTAAAGGGGGACCAGGGCAGCATAAACCTCCTCATGGGCTAATAACCCACCTCGCCATGTTAGAGACAGCGAAAAAGAAATGGCTGGATCCACCCATTCATCCAAATCAGCTCAAAACTAATTTAATGGGTTCTTCCTTGAGTCGGGCCTCAACTCTTCACAAAATCGGTTCAGTAGTTTTTGAGTAGAGTGGATTTTATATTGTACAATCCTTGGTTCGCTGGATGGATCTGGGATTAAGAATGGAGACTCCATCTATATATGTAGCTAACAAGCTATAGATACAGTACATGACAAATACAGACAGAAGAACAAAAGTGACTAAAGTGGTTAAACTGAAAGTGACACTAGTGGGACAGATATGTCGCCCACTAGTCGTCAGATAGGACAAAAGGAAACCAAATAACACACTTCCTGATTTAAATGAGCATGAACACAATGTCAGGCTCGGTGATGGATTGAAAACAAAATCCAATCAGATTATCCAGATACAGTTTACTTTCACCTTCATGTAGTAGTTTATATTTGTATTTTGCTTACCTCAACAATACTATTGAAGAAAGCAACAATTTTAAATTACATTCAGAACAATCGCACTGTGTTTGGTAATGCAAACATGGACAACATTCGCACACTCTGGAGCTGCCTTTTGCAAACCAGCAAGGTTCATAATGTCCAATAATCTGCTGGGAAAAATTAGTGGAACAAAATTAATTTGAGCAGCTGAAGGTGCAGAGTTTCACAAATGACCCTCACCTGAACCAAACTCACTTTTATCCCCATTCATGGCATCTGTCCGAGGTGTCCCCTGCTGTGATAACTATGTTTAACAATGTGTTCCCGTGTGGCGTTTTAAGTTGGGCTGTAATGATGTGTCACTAAGAAAGCACACCAAAGATTTCTTTGTGAGCTCCCCAATGGAAACTAGATGAGCCTCCATTCCAGTCCAGCAATCTGTTTAATCATGATGGAACGTGGAGTGGTTCTCCTCAGAGGGAGCACGAGGAAACTTCATGTCTAATTGCTTTTCTCATCAGCTTTCACAAACGTCTATACCTTCGAACTGATGAAAGCCGTAAGCCCTTGCATTTTCTTTTTTTTTTTCCACGGCTGGTTTATTATTAAGTCTCCCAAAACACAATGAGCACCCCGGTTAAGAACAAAAGGGTAAACGTGGCCAATTGCTGTTGATGGATTTCTGCTGATGAGTATTTTTTTTCCTCGCTCTTTGTTTCAACCCTGGAGGATGCGAGGCCCTAATCCACATCTCCATGAGTCAGGCCTGCTGGATTACAGCATTACCTTTTCACTCAGCCTCGCCTGTGTGACAATGCTGCCCACATCACAAAGCAGTCAGTGATCATGGGAGGATTACAGTGACTTTTTGAAGCAGAGAAGCATTTGTTTGTATAAACATATTAAGCACATCACCAGTGTTAAACTGTAAAGTGTCATATCTTCCATCAAAGATTGTAATCAGGCCAAGCTGTTTTCTTCCATTTCCTCTAATTTCCTGAGCCTTTAAAAAAGCTTTGAAACCGTTTCCCTTTTCCAGTCACAGTCGGGGTTATGTGCTTGAGCCTGTAAGTGCTTATATGGACACCGCTGTCACCGAAAGAGGAAAATGGACCCTGAATGCCACACTGTTGGTTTTCGAGAGAATAATACAGCAATGCTGCGAGCATAGCGCTGCTGATGTGATTATATTAAACTGCTTTATGGGTCTTTCAGTCATGCTTGCTTTTCAAATGAAGACCTTATACAGATTGACTCTCTTGGCTTTGAACTACTGTACATTTGTAAGTCTGTATGCACATGTTACACCTGTTAACACTGCTCGTATATACTCACACACAAAGCTAGGGTCAGTAATCCACACATAAACGTGCACATCCAGACAACTGCTGACTTTTCTGTGACTTGCTCGCCAACGTCTGGCAACTGTCTCTGCGTCAGTGGTGTATGACTCTCGAGCACGGGCAGGGTGCACGCAGGCAGGCAGCCAACAGACAGGTACGCCAGCGAGGCATTTCATTTTGTCTGCATGAAGTGGTCGGTCGTGTCTATTACATTCCTGCGAGGGTAATGAACACTGGCTTGTTTTCTTTTCTTTTCAACAACTTTATTTATTGGTGGCTGTCTGGATGTGAAGAGGATTTCAACAAATAAGATTAAGTGTTTCAGAAACGACTTATCAACCCTAACTTGCAGTCTAAAAAAGGCAGAAAACCAGATGCAATAATTTCTTATGATCAAAGTTTTTAGTTTGTAATCAACAAAATGTGTTAATGGTCTCTGTAAACTTGAGTGTAACGTGTTCCTACACTGGTAATAAAAATGATTCCCTTCTGTGTGTCGTTCCTCTTAAGCCAGTGGAGCATCTTCTTTATTAAGGTGCATTTTGGGGCAGTATGGTCGATGAGGAATTAAACCTGTCATCTGGCACAAACTACTTGTCTAAACAGTCGGCTCACTAGTCAGGTTAATAATGAGCCCCTCAGAGGCCTCTGCCACCACTGCATTGTGCTCCACCACAGGCCACTCGTTTGCTCCCTGCTTTGTATGCTCTCTAATAAACACTGGGGTTAATGGAGTGCTTGTAATTACATGTAATATTTAATGATTGCGGTATTGCTCCACCTCCCTCCTCCGCTGCACACACACACCTTAATAATTACCCAAGTGTGATCATTAATCCAACATGTGCCTGTTCTGCATGGATTCACAACCAGGACACCTTGGTGAACGGCAGCACAGCTTGCTGCCCTCTACACGGGTCATTAACGTTAATGACCATCGTGCAGGTAAATCATGCAGAATTTATCATGGATGCACTTTCTTTTTGGGAGTGTTTGTGATACTTTCTTGACCATCCTGCCTCGGTCATGACATTTGAAAGATTACTCAGTCACAGCATATATGGTTCTGCTATATCATAATGGTGAAAACATTAAATTAGCTTAAAAAAATCAATTTGTTTATTCAAACATAACACATTTACCACAATGAGTTGAACGTAATGTACATGCAGATAATGTGTCTCATCACTAAGCTGCATCATTTCTCCTCCTGAGCAGATACACTGCGCATGCTAATTTCTCTGTCCTTGTCCTGCCCTTGCACTTTACTGTCAGGTGACTAATAGTACAACTTAACAGTTAGTACAGATGCTAATGGATGGGAGTTTGCCCTCTGAGCCCCTGAAAGGTGTTTAATGTGAAGCAGCAGTGCAAGACGGATTGAGTGTATTGATGATGACTCAAACGTGCTGCAAAAATCAGCCGACTGGAAGTGACTTGAACTAATAACTGAACGTTACAGGAGAGTAACTCGGAGCAGCTGTTTGGTGACTAACCTGCAGCTCTATGGGAATGAATATCACTTGAATTTGGCCTCATAACAGGAATAAATCGTTTCTTTTTATGTAATTAAATGTAACATGTGAAAACAGTGTAACAGCAGCAGCAACAGAGCTGTGTCATGAAGTCAGAAAACTGACTCAGTATCTGTGAAGGTATTTTTAGACCTGCAGGTAAAATCTGGAGAATTGATTGGTGAGTTTACCCAGAGTTTGTCTTTCACACATGCACAACACAGCGGGAGGTTCTTTGCACAGACACGTTCCCAACAGCATCAAATCCTCCACGTTATTCAGACGAGAGGTGGAGCAGCCGGGTGCAGCAGACAGAGGCAGGAAGTGACCTATCAAGTCTGTAGAAACTACGGCGCGTCTCACTCAGACATTTCCACACATGCCCCTCCTCCAGAGAAAATACAGACAGAAATGCAAAGTCCAGTGCATTTCTGGAAGCAGCTTTACTTAGCATTACCTACAGTTAGCTTAAATTAACCAGAATAAGCAAGTGGTCAGACCAGAACAAATTGGGCTGAAGCGGCACTGGAGTGAGTGTGAGTGCATTAGCACCAGGTCAGTAAATCTAACCTCAAATAAGGGCAGCAGCAGATCCAACAATTTAAAGGATCTTAACTTTTTAGGTCATAAAATTTCATGAAATAGTCTTTACAATTTTCAGTGGTCTTTAAATTTTGAGATGATGACTCACTAGAATAGATATTGGCCCTTGTGTATTTAACTGTACCTATGCCAAGGAGGTTATGTTTTCATCAGCGTCTGTT